CAAGGGTGTGCCCTCATCCACACACACATCCACACAAACACACACGGCTGGAGAGATGGCTTGGCAGTTAAGAGCACTGCCTGCTCTTCCAGAGGACCCAGGTTCATTTCCAGCACCCACGGGGTGGCTCACAACTATCTATAGTTCCAGTCCCAGGGAATCTGATGCCCTTTTCTGGCCTCTGTGAAGGCACCAGGCACCAAAGTTATGTATAGGCAAAGCACCCATATACTAAAATAAATGAATAATAAATTTTTAAAAATCAACAAATAGATTTCTACTTCCGAGAAGATAGGAATTATCTTTCCTTATTCTTCCCACTTAATTCAACTGAAAACAGGCCGTGTCTATAAAACAAGCCTAAGATTAGGAAGGGCTCAGGGAAGAGGGGGAAATGCTAGACCATCAGGACCTGAGGAATGAACCCGATGGCTTCACATAAACCTGAAAGGTCAGCAGCCAAACCAAAACAAAACAAAAGCCCACTCAAACTCATGTTTGTTATTAGAAGTTTTTACTCTTTTTGGGGTCCATTACCCAGCTCCCAAATAAATCACTTGGAGGCTTATTATTAATTATGAATGCTCGGTCTTAGCTTGGCTTAGTGTCTAGCCAGCTTTTCTTAACTTAAAATTATCCCATCTACCTTTTTTTCCTCTGGGCTTTTCCCGTTCTCTTACTTCTGTAAATCTTATTCCTACTCCGTGGCTTGCTGTGTAGCTGGGTGGCTGGCCGTGGAGTCCTCCTTCTTTTGTTCTTCCTTCTCTGGCTCCTCTTCCTTCCAAACCTCTCCTCTCAGATTTCTCCTCCTATTTATCCTCTCTGCCTGCCAGCCCCGCCTATCCTTTCTCCTGCCTCACTATTAGCCATTCAGTTCTTTATTAGACCATCAGGTGTGTTAGACAGGCACAGTAACACAGCTTCACAGGGTTAAACAAATGGAGCATAAACAAAAGTAACACACTTTAAAATAATATTCTACAACACATGTTCTCTAGCCTGAGTACCGCAATTACTGCCGCCATATTAGCCTTTCATGCTTTTATTTGGTACGCTTACTTCATCCCCTGCCCCCACGAAGATGTGACACTCTTATCTGAAAATAAGTAGTGTCTTTCCTCTCCCTCTCCCATTGTGTCCCTCTTCTCTCCCCATCTCTCCCAGTTCTTGCTATGTTCCCAGACTGATCTTGAACTCCTAGGTGTCTCAGCCTCCTCAACAGCTGGGATAGCAGACACAGGCTGTCGGGTCCAACACAAGGTGGCTTTTGCAAATACACTGTAAAACATTTTAAAGGAAGCTACCATTACAGATATGCCAGAGCAGCAGTAACTACCCTATGTCTCTGTATTTTTAAATAAGCTATAGTATTTACATTGATACTGATGCTCTTTCTAAATTATGGTTTAGAGATTAGTATGCGGTTTGCTTCTGAACAAAAGAACAGCCAAACCAAGGGTAAGTGTGGGCTTTCTTTGACTCTCATTTTCAAACTATTAGTGACCAGACAAAGAACGGAAAAGAATGTAAAAAATACAGATGTTAGGAGAGGTTTTGTTTCTTTTGACATCTCGGAACAAAATTAATTTTGAAAATGGGTGACTTTATGTTTCTTCTTTAAAGTTAGTCTCTGACTTAAACATAGCTCCCTGAATGTCCCGGAAGCTGTTCTCAGGCTGAGGCAGAAGACTGTTTCAAACAATAAACAGCAAACAATTCCCCTTTAGTCCAGGTGACTTAACACAGAAAATGGAAGCATTATTTGCTAGAAATTTAAATATTCAAGTTAAAATATTTAAAAATCACGGTGTTATTGAGATGCCTCAGTGGTTAAGAACACTGACTGATCATGCAAAGGACCTGGGATTGGCATTCAACACCCACATAACCATTCATAACCACCTGCAACTCCAGTTTCAGGGGACCAGTACTCTCTTCTGGTCTCTGTGGGCTCCTGCATCCATGTGGTGTACATAGAGACAAGTGGGTGTGTGTGCGAGACACACACACACACACACACACACACACACACACACACACACACGCACAGTTAATAAAACCAACAACATCAACTAAAAAAAAACCCAATCAACTATTCAAGCAACCAATCAGGGAAGAATCAGTCTGATATATTGTAATACTGATCACTATAAAGTCTTTTCTTGTACCTATTATTACATATCAATATAAAACTATCAAGGGTAAACATTTTTTTCCTAATTTAGAAAATTACCAGTGTACAATGAGAAGAGCCCATATTGGGTAACAGGAAAATAAAATTCCACTCCAAGCCCTTTAACTTGGGAAGGTGAAGAGGTTTCAGAGGCTCTCCGATCTCAGCCTCCCCATATTTAACCAAAAGAACAGCATGAGCCACCATAGGTAATAGGTGGGGCTGCCATCACAGGTGACCAGTTGCCCTCCAGAAAAGAAGGGTCATTTGCCCTGACCTTGTCAAGAGACAGGCTGCCAGGGGTGACTATGAACTTTTCTGACAGGCAGTAAATGAGCTGGAGTGGGTAATCTAGGCCCCTGTGGCCTTGGGAGCACCTCTTGGGGGCGGTAGTGTTTGGTCAGGCGATGGGCCAGGTCAGTGTCCTGCTGTGCAGCTCAGGCTGAGCTGACTAGAAGGATGATATCTGAGGAGATGTGCTGGTGGCAGCTACTCCCTGGTCCTGAGGGTGAATCAGACTCTCCCTGGAGTTTGGTAGGCAGTGGAAGAAATAAGGATGCTGTCTATCTCATCAAGACATAATGCAAGAATTGTCCACAGCCAAGGATGTGCCCTTCACTTCTGGACCTCACAGCAACCTCCACCGAGCTCCCACTGCCAAAGGGAGAAGAAAAAGGCTCTCACTGAAGTCCTCGGGGTCAAGCCACTGAGTGACCCAGCATGAATTTGAAACACACAGCAGGAAGCAAGTCCTCTCAGCAACCACATCTTTCAAGCCCCATCTCTGAGAATAGAAAATTCTAAGCTCAATTTAAGCATCATTGTAAGCTCCCCTCAGTGCCAGATGATTTTATCCACATATTTACATACGAAGCACAAACAACTTAAAATGTTTACACTGAGGGGTAATGGAAGTCATGTGTCAGTTGCAGTGAAGGGGGGGGGGGTGGAGGAGGATCAAGCCTTCTTCAGAACTAAAGCCTGAAGATCTACAATATCTGGGGGAAATCTGGCCTACAAACGAAAGCGTGTTGTTTACCTATCCCATCTAATTACAGAGAGCATGCCTTCTACCCTTTGCATACAATTTCTTAGGTCGATTTCTCTTGGTTTTTGGTCTGCTGTTTGCTCTCAAGTGTTGCCTGAAGCTATGGAATCCTGATAGCTCTATGCATAGAATCTCAGGGAAGGCCACCCGCGATTCTCCGAGATTTGCGATTCCAGTTTCCTTTAGGCTCTCACTCCCAGAGAGACAGAGAAGAATCCTTCCACCAAGCTGGAAGTCCAAGAGCAAAACCTCCTCAGCTCCTGCCTCTTCTGCCCCGTCTGTCCTCCTTGAACAGGGTAAAGACTAGGACACAAGAGAAGGTTGGGAACTGACACCTGGCCTCTTCCTTTCCACCAGGAAGGTGTCCTCCACTTTATCACTGGGCATCAGCCACCAGGGACGCAGACCCAGTCATCCACCAGAGCTCTGCATGGGGACAGGCACACAAGCTTCAGAGCTCCCAGATTCTCGCCTATGCAAGACCCACCCTGGAGTTAATAGAGCTTGAAGGGGCCACAAGGACAACGAAGGAAGAACGTGGCTATGCTGCCAATTTCTTTAATGCAATCATCTTAGAAGGATCAATCTTCTTAACTCTCACATGAAGTTTGGCTCTTCTGTCTTGTTTTGTTTTTTTTTTTGAGATAGGGTCTCCCTGTGAAGGCCAGGCTGGCCTTGGATTTCTGATTCTCTTGCCCAAACCTCCAAAGTGCCGGGATTATAGGTCTGCCCAACATATTTGCACCCTTCTTTTTTGAGGCAGGATTCCTTTCCTCAACAAAGCTATGCTCACCTCCACATATCACTTCTCACGTGGGACTAAATGGAGGGCAAGTCTGACCCTTTGGGCCTGCTTGTCTCTGCCCCTGCCCTGCCCATCTATGCACCTAATGAGGACTCCAAGGAAGAGTCACCTAAGCCTTCAGGGGTGGCGTTGTAAACTTCAGAAAAGTGGACGGACAGTGGCTTATTCTCTCCTTCGCCTTCTCTGTCACTTGTGGGAAGGAGACTTTCATCTTAGCTCATCCAGTTCTGCTTGTCCTTCCAGGAGAAAGTAGAGAGCTTCCTGATGCATTCCTTCTAGACCAGTGCTTTTCAACCTTCCTAACGCTGCAATACTTTAATACAGTTCCTCATGTTGTGGGGACCCCCAACCATACAATTATTTGTTACTACCTCTTAACTGTAACTTTGCTACTGTTATGAATCAAAATGTAAACATATCTATGTTTTTCGATGGTCTTAAGCGACCCCTGTGAAAAGTTCATTCAACCCCAAAGGGTCATGACCCACAGGTTGAGAATCACTGCTCTAGACATATATTCCAATTCTCAAAAAGTTGACACTGAGGGGGAAACTTCTATACAGCCTTGGTGGAGTTTTACACATATCTTAGCCTGCCCCACTGAAGATTTATTTTCTCCCAGGACTCCAATTAGCACCTGAACATTTAAAACCCAAGGGTTGAGGAAACAGAATCATTTCATCTAAAACACAAAGTAATCTGTACAACAGCTGAATATAAAAATGGACAGATCATTTCAACAGCATTCTTCCAATGACACTAAATCTGCACTTACCCAGTGCATAAACAACTTTAAACGGGAGCCAATAAAAGCTACGTGAACCAACCCATAGGCGTATCTGTCACCGAAAACAGCCATATCTCAGGATCTCCGGCTGCTGGTCAGTATTTGGTGTCACACGTTCACATTCTGCGCCCAGAGAGTGAGGCAATGACTGAGGCTCTGTGACTCGGAAGATCTGAACATCTCTTACCTGTAAATATGTTTCCAGGCCTTGCCGCCGCTGCTCCAGGACTTTGGGGACCCAGTTCCTGACGTGCTTAGAAGGGATTTCTGGAGTCTTGATACATTTCTTAAGCTTCCAAGACAGAAGGGGAAAGATGTCTGTTAATTATAATAAAATCATCTGGAAGAAAGAAAAGCCAACTAAGCAAAATAAACTATGGCTAAAATAAGCTGAAAAGTTTTCCCAAACATTTTTTAACTGAGGTGTCCTGATTGTTCAGAATTCAGGACAAGTGAGTTTTATGTTTGATAGTTGTTATGATGAGTATTTCAGATTTAAATGAGTCTTTTTTCTGAGTAATTAAAAGTCTAATACTTGAGCTAAAAGGAAAGAAAAGTAAGATAGTTTCAATTTATTTCATAGCAATATTAACACAAGTTTTTAAATCTAGTTTTCTAACTAAAGAAAAAGTCCTTCCACACATACTTTTCACATAAGAAAAGAGAACAAAGTCTGGTCCTTTCTGACCACTGTCCCCAAAAATGTCACATGAACTGGAGCACAACGCTCAGAGAGGTTCTTGAAATTTCTGAAATAAAGTGAATTTTAAAATACAGAAAAAGTCTAGTCCTTCCAAAAATTCAGAGAAGCAGATGCAAGCTCTACTCTTGCAAACTGAAGGGCAGTTTTGAGTTAGAACATCTAAGTAGTCCTTTCAGGGGGTGACACTAAAAAAAAAAAAAAAAATTCTGGGGCTGGAGAGATGGCTCAGTTGTTAAGACCCCTGGCTGTTCCTCCAGGGGACCAGTGTTTTGATTCCCAGCACCCACATAGTGTCTCACAACTATCTGTTACCCCAATTCCAGGGTTCTGGACCCCTTCCTCTGACCTCTTCAAGCACCAGGCACACAAGTGGTACACAGACATACACGTAAGCAAAACACCCAAACACATAAAATAAAATAAAAACTTATTTTTCAGAAGAGCTATTCAAAGTTAAGTTAGAGCTGCTTTGGTATGCAAAATAAGATCCATCTCCAAGGAGTGCCATGCCCTAAACCTGGAGTGTTTCCCTGTACAGCTACAGCAAAAGGGATTTTCTTCCAGTTGGGTGATATTATTGATTTAATAACAGGGAGACTGTCCTGGGTTATCTGGGCAAGTTCAATGCAACCATGAGGACCTTACAAGAGGTCAGAGGTTAAAGAAGTATGAAGCACGGTGGTGCATACCTATAATCTCAGCACTTAGAAGGCTAAGGCAGGAAGATGACAATTTGGGGGGTATTGAAAAGTTCATCACTTTTCAATCTTTTGGGTTGAAAGTGTGGAGAAAGGAATCCTAGATACAGCAAAGGGCCCCAGAAGATGACTATGAACAGCCACTGGGCTCCTCCTCCATGTGCCTTGGCACTAGGAACATACCTGCCCCAACTGGAAACCAAGGTCTTAGGGTGCCGTTGCTGTGATAATAATAAACACTTTGACCAAAAGCAAGTTGGGGAGGGAAAGCTTTATTTCATCTTACAGCTTGTAGTTCATCATCCAGGGAAGCCAGGGCAAGAACCTGGGGGCAGGAATCAATGAAGGGGCCATGAAAGAGTGCTGCTCACTGGCTTGCTTCCCACAGATTGCTCAGCCTGCTTTCTTACATCATCCAGAACCATAGTAACATGGGCCCTTCCACATCAATCACCAATCCAAAAAAAAAAAAAAAAAAAAAAATGCCCTACAGACTTGCCCATAAGCCAATACATGGAGGTATTTTCTCAACTAAGGTTCCTTCCTCACAGATGACCCTAGATTCTGTCAAGTTGACATTAAAACTAGCCAGCACACCAACAATAAACAAGTTAATGGAGTCTGTGAAAGTGGTAGCATTGGAAATTGGGGATGGGGTGGGGTGGCAGGGAGAAGGCCTGTGTAAGGCAGTAATGTCTGAGGCATGACCTGAATCCTGTTTGAAGGAAGCCAGGTGAGCAGCCCAAGGAACATGACTAGAGTAGAGACGGCAATAGAAAGGAAGAGTCAGGCCTTCGGTGCCCAAAGCCAACAAGGAGAGACGGACTCTCAGAGGAGGCAACACCATATTCTTCAGTGCCTTGTGGGCCATGGCAGGGATTTGGATATTATTTTAAAGGAGAGGTAAATTGATGATTTCAACAAAAGTGCCATGACCTAACCTTTACTTTGGAGGGGACATGCTGGGTTCAATGAACAAGAAAGACAGCATGGGGGGGGGGGGCGGGTAGAGGTGGGGCTAACAGAGCAGTTCAAAGTGCCTGAAGAAAGCTAGGCAAGAGATGATGGTCTTGACTGCGTGTGCAGGTGGTGGATGTGGGCAGGTGCGGGGGGGGGGGGGGGGGGGGGGGGGGGGGGGGGGGGGGGGGGGGGGGGCGGCTGTGGGTGTGCAAAGTAGATCTGATCATCATGGCTCTGGGGCAGACATTCAGGTTTGGACCTCCCCTGGCAGCTATTTTGATTAACTGCCCGTCATTTACTGAACAGTGTCATAATGTCAGGTTTGAGCTCAATGGCTGTATTAGAGTTCTCTAGAGGAAAAGAACTGAAAGAATTAATGTGGCCGAGATCCAGCCAGTCCGACAACGGCTGTCCATCAGTGGAAAATCCAAGAATCTATTAGTTGTTCAGCTCATGAGGCTGGATGTCTCGGCTTGTGTTCAGGGCATGCCGGAATCCTGGAGAAGTAGGCTCTAATGCCATGGAAGGATTGAGTTTGCCAACAAGAGCGAGGGCAAGTAGGCAAAGAGCAAGGGCTTCCTTCTTCCATGTCTTTGTATAGGTGGGCACCAAAAAGGTGCCGCCCAGATTAAAGGTGGGTCTTCCCATTTCAAATGGTTTAATTAAGAAAAAGCCATCATAGGTGCACTCAGCCACTTGGGTTTTAGTTAATTCCAGATGTAGTCAAGTAGACAACCAAGAATGGCCATCACACTACCCAATCTACTAGTTATTTCCCAAATCTACGGTTCCTGGGTGCTCCAGGATTCAACTCCTGGTTTTCAGTGAATGAAAAACACACTCCCTACCTCCACCCCCAGCTGTGTGTAACAACGTGACTGCATCCTGGTCATAGGGAGGTAAGCAGAGAAGGTGTCAATCCAACCCGAAGAAGGGCTCTTTCTCAGAGGTCGTAAGGGAGGGGATATTTTCTTCCTTTCATTCTTCCATGCTACAGAAATGGCCTATGGATGGAACCAACCCAGACACCTTTGACCATGAGGCAGAAGCTGTGTGGTGTTGGGAATGGCAAAGTAATAGGAACCTGATCGCTTCCATGGAAGAACAACAAAATCCCATCTGTTGCTGTCACCACTGTTTTGCATTTATAACCACTGTCAGCTATATTTAATCCTCTGTGAATAGGGGAAAATGTCATTCAGAGTTCAACATGTTAAACCTAAAAACCTTGATTTCCTACGTTCCCTTAGCATCACGGTGGTCACGTGACACCGTTGTTAATTAAAGTGTAGCACAAGTCTACTGGGTAGAACTTCCGCTTTCCCAAAATGACCGCAGGATTTGTTCCTGCTAGAAGTGTGAAGCGAGGCCTGAGGTGACTGCAGCTATGTTCTAATCAGAAAGTGAAAGCCACAACTTTGGGACAATGGACACTGAGGCTGGCTCCATCCCTTGGTCTGCCTGCCTTTAGGTTTCCTAAGGATAACCACAGTACATCTCTTACTTACTGAAGAGAGCCAGTCAAGGTTCTATGATGTACAACCTTAGGCACTCTTAACATAGAGGAGTCAACTGTGGAGGCTGGAGAGTTTAAGCTAGAGATGCTTCTAGGTGTCCATGTGTGTGCAAGTATACAGAATTCTGTAAACCTGGGAGCCCGAAGACTGTAAATAGCATTTATAGACATAGAACTAAATCATATTACGTTGAGAATGAAGTCCTAACACAGCAGAAGGGCTATGGTGGGCAGAATGCACATATCGGCCCGATGGTGTTTATAACCTACCTAACTCCTTCCATGTGGGTGTGGGCAAACCTGTGATTACAGTGGCAAAGTCACTTCCATGGTTGCCTGTCTGTACACCTCGGTCTTAGCAGACTGATGGCTTTGAGGAAGTGGCCAGGGCTTGAGGGGGACCTCTAGCAGCTAAGAGCTGCCCCTGATCAACAGTCAGCAATACGAGACGTCACTCCTGCAGATTCAGGCAGAAGCCTGCCCGAGTGAGCATAGATGTGGACTTAAGCCTAGGACAAGATCATGGCATGGCTGTCCTTGATCACAGACAGTAAGACTGACTCCTGACCCGGGGAGACTCTGAAACAACTGTGACTTGAAGACTTGTGTCTCAGGTGATTTATTATACTGCAATGGAATACTGGGAGGGTCAACTCTGAGGAGCAGGTAGTGAGTGAGGATGAGACTAGAAGTTATCCCACAGGAGTGTTTCAAAAAGGGGGCAAGAGGAGGCAAGATGACCATGTAAGCCTTCAACCTGACTTCGACCCCCACAAAAGCTCTGCCGGCTGTCTCCTCTCCAGTTTTTCTCTTTGCATCTTGACGACACAGCACTGAAAACATTTTCCTTTTTGTTTACATGAGGGGTTACTGAGGGAGCCAATCAACATGACACACTTGGAGGTGAGCAAGCATTTAGATGGGAGACAAATCCAAGACAATATGTTTCCAGTAGGGCTCAGCTGCTTGCAAGATAAATACTCCTTGTCTTCTTCATCTGATGATTAACTGTCCTGCTACGCAGCATCCGGGCAAAGGACTTTTCTGATGTGAGTAGATAAGTGCCACACACACAGACACACACACACACACACACACACACACACACACGTTTTCAGTGTGTGGCCATTCCCTTTTCCTTTTTACATTGTTAGAACTCATTGAGAGTTTATTACAGATAGAAAAGACCTACCAGCATAAGAAGTGACCATTCCCTTTCCCTTTTTACAGCCTTAGAATTTTGTTACACCGTTACACCTTTTACATTGTTAGAACTGTTACACTGTTACATCGGTAGAACTCTGTTACACTGTTATAACTTTTACATTGTTATATCTCTGTTACACTTTATACTTTTTACATTGTTAGACCTCTGTTACACTGTTACACTTTTTACATTGTTAAAACTGTTATAC